TTTCCCCCTTTCAGGACGCCGAATTTTCCACCCGGCTGCCCTGGCCCCCTGGGGGTCCCCCGTTGCAATCTACCCTTGCTGTCCGAAAACAACAAAAAACAAAAAAGTTTCGTTTACGTGTCCTTCCCTGCTCCAATTCAATACCCCTCACAGACTCCGAACCCTCCCTCGGGCAGCAGGGACTACTCCGTCAATCCACAAGAGCAATTAAATCTCTGCGGAAAATCTCGGGAGTGTGTGCTTACCAAGCTTGGGAAGGTAGCGCGCCGTGAATGGGGCTGGGGAAGGTCAGTGCCTGGCCGTAGGCCTTGCCGTAGGCCTTCCGGTCCGGACACGTAATCAAAAAAACGACGGGGGGGGGGAAAGCGTGGCCAGCGCGACGGCGAAAGCACCATTCCGACGTCCACGTGCAACCCTGTGGTACGTAACGGGCCCACAAAGAAAACGGCTCCGACACGAGCGAGGGATCCATGTCCAAACATATTTTCTCGGAGTGTACGCCTGGGGCGTCCGCCGTCGACATGGACGCGGGTCCTGGCGCGGTTCGGTCTGGCCCGGCAAAAGCCTCGGCGCCTGGGCGGGCGTGCGCAAGCCTCCCCGATAGGGAGGAGAGAGGAACACGCTGTGACCAGCGCGACGGCGAGGGTGCCATTCCGACCAGCGACCCGAACACGTCGAACTTCGCCCACGACCCGCGCTCGCGACCCGCGACACGACGCGCGCCCCGCGCCCGCCACCCGTCTACGATCCGTCTGGCCTGGCGGCCCCAACTAGAGCACAACCTAGAGCACAACCTAGAGCACAACCTAGAGCACAACCTAGAGCACAACTCATGAAGGTATATATTTTCATAGAAAAAATGGCACTCAACCTTCCCAAATCAAAAAAGAATCAATACTTTCTTTATTTTCGAACGCGAATGCGTGCCAGACTACCATGAAATGAGTTGTGCTCTAGGTTGTGCTCTAGGTTGTGCTCTAGTTGTGCTCTAGTTGTGCTCTAAGGCGGCCCCTGGGATAAGCGGTCGCCTGCCCTCCCCGCCCCCGGACCTTCAATCCGACGGAATTGGCTTTCCTCCGTGTTTGGTAGAAGTGGCATAACGCACCGCCAACAAGTCGCGAAGGCAAGCGCTGTTGGTCGCAGCGCCGGCCGCGAGCTCCACGTTGCAAGCGCCGGGCAACGCGCCCTGCCGCCTCCTCCGCCGCGGGCCAGACGCGCGGGCAGCGCGTTGCACGATGTTCTGGACACACGTGCAAACGACATGAAGCCGCAATGATACGCAGGCTGTGTCCCGCGCGGGCCTGCAGCAAGGCCCACGAATTCAGACGGACCCAGTCCGCGGGGAGCACCTCGTCCATGGCAACCGCACCCATCGCGCGGACATCCGCCAGCAAGGCGTCTGCCTGCGCGCGGGGTATGCGCGCGTCGGACATGAGGTCGTCGAAGCCGCTCACAGGCGGCACGCCCGCGTCTGCCCCGACCAGCGCAGCGGGCGCCGGGCGGAAAACGCCGACGGCGTCGAACCTTGCCGCCTCCCGGACGATCCACGCGGCCATGCACGGAGCACACGAGAGTACGTCCTGCAAAGAGCCGTCTGACAAGACGGAGGTGAATGGGAACTGCCTCACGCGGTTTCTGCATGTGCCGGAAGTCCTCCGCACCCACCTTCGGTCTCCCAGAGGCCTCCCTCGAACACTGCCCGTGAAAACGTCGCCGTGGTTCCAAGCAGACGTCCTTGTTACCGTCGTTGAAGACTGGGAAAAAACCTGGATCTCGGTGTGGCAGGCCGAACGAACAAGACAAAACAAAGAGACGGGGTACGGTCTTCTTGTGGGCGAACTCAACCGGCCGGAAGTCGTCCCAGAAGATGAACCGCTTCGTGCCGCTGGCCAGGTTCCGGAGTCCAAAGGAGGAGCCCAAGGCAGGCTTGTGCAGAACCCGTTTCGGAGTGAACAAGTCGTCGAAAGGGTAGCCCACCGTGCTCTTCCCGGAATTCGACGGCCCCACCAGGAAGGGCACCCTCGTCGTCTTCTTCGGGCCGACCGTCAGAATGTCCCGCAGAGACGCCGCGAGCTCCCGAACGTCGAAAGAAGCGGCGTTGCGGGAGAAGATGGTCTCCACGGCTGACCTGTACGAGCAGCGCAGCGGCACACGAGCGTCCAATCGTCCACCGCCTCGAAGGCCGCGTTCTCGCGGGCAGACGCCCACTCCTTCGTCTCCTCAAGGTCCGCCGTCAGCTTGCGCACTCGGCTGCGGACGAACCGCTGCATGGTCTTCGTCCCGCGGTCCTGGACGTACGCCATCAGACGCGCGGGCAACGCGTTGCACGATGTTCTGGACACACGTGCAAACGACATGAAGCCGCAATGATACGCAGGCTGTGTCCCGCGCGGGCCTGCGCTAAGGCAAACGCGCGTAAAGCGCAGGAGTCGCGAGCACCGCAGGGCCCTCGCCATGGGCAGCCGAGCACCTCCCGAAAGGCAGGGACGGAACAGTAGCAGCACGGCTACGATTTTCAAGTCTACGGATCCACGACACGTTTCTCGGTGCATGCGCTGCGGCAGGAATTCTGAAATCTCTCGGCGGTCACTGAGGAAAAATCCGCTCTGGCAGAGGCCGAGCCGCCGATTCGGCTGGCTCCCCGGCCGCGGCTGGAAATATTGCGTCGTGGCAAAGACCGTGCCGCCGACTCGGCTGATCAGCGCCAATGCTCCCGGGCCGCAGGCTCAATCGCTCGGGATCCTGCCTCCCTCGGCCACGACGACCTCCGCCGCCTTCGTCTTCATCTTAGCCACGGCTGCCCTGATGACGCTCTTCGGGATGCCCATGGCGACGCGCCTGAGGCGCGCCTTGTAAGCGCTCTGAGACTCGTTGGCCGGCGCGCTCTGCTCTGCCATTCGCCGGTTGACCTCCGCCCAGAGGAAGTAGTCGAGGGGGTTCATGTCCGGGGAATACTTGGGGAACTTGATGGGGGTGATCTTGAGCCCCCGCCTGAGAGCGACCGAGCGGGGTCGACTGGGGCGCGAGAGGCGGGCGATCAAGAGCGGGCGCCGACTGGCGGGGCGATCGCCAGACGGGGCCCGACTCGAACTCGCGGCCGCCGCGGTGGCGCGCCAACTAAGGGGGCCGCTTGCAGTCAACGGCCTTCTTGCTCTTGTACCCCGTGGGGTCGTTATCCTCCAGGATGCGGAAGGCGCGGCGCCCCTTCCGGCAACGGCGAAGCGCGGGAGCGAGGACGCCCGCGTAGAAATCGCAGGCTGCGTCGGCGCACCACAGGGTGGGCAGGTAGTGCCAGATGCGGACCTTGTTGTTCACGATGGCTGCGGCCACGTGAACCTTGGCGCCTGGGTCCACCCTGTTCTGGTTCCCCTTCGGCTTCGTGAAAGGCTTGAGGACCTCGGGGGAGGGCCCGGCCAGCCGGCCCCCCGCCTGGCCCCCCCCCGCCCTTCGCATCCGAAAGAAACTACGCCAATGAGAACCCTCATACCAGAAAGAAACGACGCCAAGAAAAACATGTCCGATCGCCTGGACGGGGCCGATCAGACCCGATCAGACTTGGATCGCAGACATGGATCGGGGCAACGATCGGGGGCGGAATCGGCATCTCGACTTCGGCGGCCCGGCGGCCCCCGCCCCGCCCCCAGCCCATGCGATCGCACTCGGGGCCGAGAGTCGCGCCCCCTCTGCCTTGGTGCGAAGGTGGCCGCGAACGCGACTCTTCTTCGCGTGCGTCTTCGCCCGCTTGGTCATGGGGATGGGGGACACCTTATTGTCGATGATGGCGTCGACCTGGTGCGTGAAATAGTTGCCCGGGAGCCGCTTCCACCCCGAACGCACGGCCACGCGCCCCCCCGCCTCCGCGGAGCCGCGGAGCGCATCCGCGCGGGAGGGCGCCAGGTGTACCCCGAGTGCGCTTGAAGAGCTGAGGCCGTGCCCATGTGGATCGTCGTGACTGGCCCTCGAGCGCTCCAACGTCCATGAGGTAAACCTCGGCGGCCTCGCCCATGGCCACACCCGCCCGAGTCAAACGAACCCGAGCGTTGTTCAAGGCGCGGAGCTTGACGGCCGTGAGCTTTGGCTTGCGGCCGCGAGTCTCCGCTGGGCCACGCCTGTGCGCGGCGCCCCGGAGGGCCCGGCGGACGGTCGTCAAATCCGGCCCAGTCTCGTCGAGGGACTCACGGGTCCGACTAACGAGGTCGCGTATCTCCACCGGGGTCTTCCCAGCGGCGTAAGCGAGAAGCAGCGGTTGAGCTCCCTCTTGCTGAGGTGGGGCGCCATCTGGGCCCGCGACCGAAAAAGGGGTCAGATGGCCTCGGGGCGGGGCGAGGCCGTTGCTGCGGTGACGACTGAGCCGAAACAGCTGCGCCAGGTGAACGGAAGGCTTGAAGTGACCGGAGCACGCGGCGGCGTTCATAGTCTGGCGTCGCTCTTGACGCCGCCCTCAAGACGGGCGGCTTCGGGCAGCCTCAAAGTCCTTGCAGGGCGCCAACGGGAGAGCGCAACCCGTTGGGCAGCGGGGAGGGGGCCAGTCTTGCAACGCAACCCATGCAGATGCCCGTAGCCGAAGATGCCATGGCAAACCCCCCACGAGCGTCTTATAGTGACACAGCGCTGTACATTCACATATCTATATATATATATATGTATATTCCCATATTTATATGTTGTATATATATATATATATATATGTATATATACACGTGTATACATAAGTGTGTATGTACACCCTATTTGCACATCCATATGCCTTCCCCCTATGTGTGCATACACCCATGCATACACGTACGTGCATGCATGCATTCACGCCGCCACGCAATCCGAGGCTATTCACGCGACGCTACCCGTGCGGAATCGTCCAGTGGCGACACAACGCTGATGGCCCCCCTTACTCTCCCCTGCAGCTTCCGTCCACTCTGCCCTGTCTACCTCGTCTCGCACTTCTACCCCTTCGAGGCGTCATTTCCGCGCAAAGACGATGGATGCGCTGCCGGGTGCCACGCGCGAGCACGCGTAACCCCGCTGGGCGGCGCCAGCGGCGCCCGCGCGCGCGTGCTCACGGGGGTGCAAAAGCTGACAGGCGGGCGCTCGCAAACCAAGTGGACTTGGTCAGCGGTGCCCGCACGCGCGTGCTTCCGGAAGCGCAAAAGCTGAGAGTCGGGCGTGCGCAACCCAACTGGACTTCGCCAGCGGTAACCGCACGCGCACCCTCGCGAGCATGCAAAAGACGTGGGGCGGAGCGCTGGGGGGAAGCCCCCGGCGCTGCCCGCGCGCCCCCTCAGGGCGAAACCGGAGAGCCATTTTGCCCAAGAAGTCTGCGCTTCTGGAGCGGGAGCAGCAAGGCCCACGAATTCAGACGGACCCAGTCCGCGGGGAGCACCTCGTCCACGGCAACCGCACCCATCGCGCGGACATCCGCCAGCAAGGCGTCTGCCTGCGCGCGGGGTATGCGCGCGTCGGACATGAGGTCGTCGAAGCCGCTCACAGGCGGCACGCCCGCGTCTGCCCCGACCGGCGCAGCGGGCGCCGGGCGGAAAACGCCGACGGCGTCGAACTTTGCCGCCTCCCGGACGCTCCACGCGGTCATGCACGGAGCACACGAGAGTACGTCCTGCAAAGAGCCGTCCGACAAGACGGAGGTGAATGGGAACTGCCTCGCGCGGTTCTGCATGTGCCGGATGTCCTCCGCACCCGCCTTATTCGTCGTCTCCCAGAGGCCCTCCAGCTTGCCCGTGAAAACGGCGCCGTGGTTCCAGCAGACGCCCTTGTTCCCGTCGTTGAAGGATTGGAAAACCTGGATCTCGGTGTGCTGGCCGACGAACAGAGACAGGAACAAAGAGACGGGGACGGTCTTCTCGTGGGCGAACTCAACCGGCCGGAAGTCGCCCCAGAAGATGAACCGCTTCGTGCCGCTGGCCAGGTTCTGGAGTCCAAAGGAGGAGCCCAAGGCAGGCTTGTGCAGAACCCGTTTCGGAGTGAACAAGTCGTCGAAAGGGTAAACTACCGTGCTCTTCCCGGAATTCGACGGCCCCACCAGGAAGGGCACCCTCGTCGTCTTCTTCGGGCCGACCATCAGAATGTCCCGCAGGACGCCGCGAGCTCCCCCCACCGTCGAAAGAACGGCGCTGCGGGAGAAGCTGGTCTCCATCCACGGACTGACCTGTACGGCGCACCCGTGCCAGGGGGAAAATTCTCCAGCCAGCCCCACACGAGCGTCCAATCGTCCACCGCCTCGAAGCCCGCGTTCTCGCGGGGCAGACAGCCCCGTGTTCCTTCGTCCCCTCGGGTCCGCCGTCAGCTGCGCCTCCGGTTTGCGGAACGAACCGCTGCATGGCTGCCGGGAGCGGTCCTGCAACGTCGACGGCCTTCAGGCTGCCCTTTCGTCCACAAGTGCTTGGCGATGATGGTCGAGGTCAAGTCTACGAGGTCGAACGTCGTCTTCGTGCCCATCGCCCCGGCCGCCTTGTCCGTGGCCTCCCGGCGCTTCACCCACACGCCTGCCATGTATGGCTCCTGCGACATCTCGAAGAGGTCGATGGCGTCGTTCTCGCGCGCGAACCCGGCCCAGTCTGGCTGCCACACCCACGGGGCGTCGTCGACATCTGGTTTGGCTGGGGTCTCCATATACCCGCACCTCACGGCGCTCCACATTCGCTGGTGGGAACCAGAGAAATGGCTCGGCAACAAATGGCGCTCACGCAGAGTGCGCTTGGCCTGCTGGAAACGGCCCGACCTAGTCAGCTTCGCAGCAACGTGGAAATGGATCGCGCCGTCTTTGTGCTTCTCTCCTGGAAACACCACCGCCATGGACTCGAGCGCTTGGCCGCGCGGTTCCTTCTAGGGCGGCCGCCCGCGGACCCAGATTCGGAATCGGAAATTGTTGAATCGTCGGCCCGCTGCTTTTCCGATGATCCTCCCGTCTCATCGTGCCAAGATCGCGGTACTGGGTGCGCCGTCGGGAAGGTCCGCGTCAGGACGCGCGATTATGGTCACCAAAGCACACACGGCAACGAGTCCAAGCTGCGACGACGGATGAACCAGGAGGCGACGCGGCCGTCCTGGTTCGGGCTGCGTTTCCGAAACGCCCTCGGTTTCAGGCTCTTGAACTCGTGCTTGCGTTGGTCCAAGAAGCATGCTCTTGCAAACCGGGACCGACCGGGGCGATCAAAAACCGAACCGACGGGCCCGAAACCGGCGATAACGGTTGAAGTTTCAGAAGCGACCTGGCGGCGACACTCACGCAACGAAATGTGTTTCAAGTCCTTGCCTACTAAGACGGCCTTCAAGGCGTCCCGGATGGCTTTGGTTTCGACGGCATCGGCGTCCACGCCTGCGGACGGGACTGGGGGAGACGGCACCACGTGCCCCGTGTCCGTCTTCTGCCGCAAGCGGCGCCTCGGCGTAGAGGGGTCTGTGAGCATTGCAGTGCACGGTACTCCCAGTGACAGGTGCCAAGGTCCGTACGGTTCTCCCTATAAGACTTGAGCCACAAGGCAGCTGCAGTGGTTTTAAGCACCAATGGCCATGAGCACCAGGACGGCTGTGAGCACCACTTCAAAGCCTGAGAGCACCTCAGAGCCCATTAAATAAGAACGGCTTGAGCCGAAGCGCCTGTGGGCGCTACAAGGCTGGTGATCACCGCAACAGCCCCAGAGCACCACAGAACTCGAAAGGACTACAGAGCACCACAGGACGTGAGTCTCAACGTGCCTGCGAGCACCGACTGGTCAGAGGAAGGGGGAGGGAGGGGGAGGGCAAGGTATGCCCACCAACTGGACATCGACGACATTCCCAAGACAACCCAAACAGGCGCTGGAACTGCCAAATGGCCCAAGATTGCCCAAAAACCTGTCTGGGTCGGAGCGGGAAAACCGATGCAACTTGTCCCAAGAGTGCAAGCGAGGCCGATTCCCTCTCCCTGAATCCACCGCACTCCGAGGGCTCTGGAAGCGGGGGGCGGAGGGGTGGAGAGGACTTGGGTTCTGGAGGGTTCTGGAGGTTTTGGGAAGTCCTCTGAAAGTAGAAAGAGTTTGAGAGGGTTCCGGAGGATTTGGGAGCTGTGCGAGGGTTTCGGATGTATGGGGAGTTGTGGAGGTTTTGGGGGGAGCGCGGAGGGGTTAGAAGGTTGGGGGGGGTTCTGGAGGGTTTGGAGGTTTTGGGAAGTTTTCCAAAAGTTTAGGGGGTGTGGGAGGGTTCCGGAGGATTTGGGAGCAGCGCGAACGAGGGTTTCGGATGCATGGGGGAGTGCGGAGGGGTTAGGAGGTATGGGAGGGTTCTGGAGGGTTCTGGAGGTTTTGGGAAGTCTTCCCAAAATTTAGGGGGGGTGGGAGGGTTCCGGAGGATTTGGGAGCAGTGCGAGGGTTTCGGATGCATGGGGGTGGGGGGTGGGGGGAGTGCGGAGGGGTTAGGAGGTATGGGAGGGTTCTGGAGGGTTCTGGAGGTTTTGGGAAGTCTTCCGAACATTCAGGGGGGGTGGGAGGGTTCCGGAGGATTTGGGAGCAGTGCGAGGGTTTCGGATGTATGGGGAGTTGTGGAGGTTTTAGGGGGAGCGCGGAGGGGTTAGGAGGTATGGGAGGGTTCTGGAGAGTTCTGGAGGTTTTGGGAGGTCTCCAATAGCTTCGCTGTCGATTTCAAGATCGATCTCACGATCAATATCACTATCGATCTCACTGTCGATTCCACGGTCGACCTTAAGATATATTTCAAAATCCACGATCGATCTCAGAATCGAGCTCACGAAATCCGCGCCAAATTCAGTGGGGCGCCGGAACATACGAAGATTGTATAATCGTACAAAACCAGTAACATTGCACAGAATCGGACTCTCCAGGTGCTCTCCAGGTGCACTCCCGGTCAAGCGGCCGCCTCGCGACAGGGCGACGCGACCCTGCGGGTGTCTGAAGGGCGATGATAATGGCAATGCCAATGGAGGGAGAGCGGGAGGCAGGGAGGGAGCGCAAGCGGCGGCCCACATTGCCAGGAATCGGTGCTCTCGCCTCCGCGCCGGGCAATCCTAAGAAAAATCAAAAAAAAAAAAAATCAAAAAAGGCCATAACTTCCCCCTTCTAGGACGCCGAATTTTCCACCCGGCTGCCCTGGCCCCCCGGGGGTCCCCCGTTGCAATCTACCCTCGCTGTCCGAAAACAACAAAAAGCAACAAAGTTTCGTTTACGTGTCCTTCCCTGCTCCAATTCAATACCCCTCGCAGACTCCGAACCCTCCCTCGGGCAGCAGGGACTACTCCGTCAATCCACAAGAGCAATTAAATCTCTGCGGAAAATCTCGGGAGTGTGTGCTTACCAAGCTTGGGAAGGTAGCGCGCCGTGAATGGGGCTGGGGAAGGTCAGTGCCTGGCCGTAGGCCTTCCGGTCCGGACACGTGATCCAAAAAAACGACGGGGGGGGGGAAGCGTGGCCAGCGCGACGGCGAGAGCACCATTCCGACGTCCACGTGCAATCCTGTGGTACATAACGGGCCCACAAAGAAAACGGCTCCGACACGAGCGAGGGATCCATGTCCAAACATATTTTCTCGGAGTGTACGCCTGGGGCGTCCGCCGTCGACATGGACGCGGGTCCTGGCGCAGTTCGGTCTGGCCCGGCAAAAGCCTCGGCGCCTGGGCGGGCGTGCGCAAGCCTCCCCGATAGGGAGGAGAGAGGAACACGCTGTGACCAGCGCGACGGCGAGGGTGCCATTCCGACCAGCGACCCGAACACGGCGGACTTCGCCCACGACCCGCGCTCGCGACCTGCGACACGACGCGCGCCCCGCGCCCGCCACCCGTCTACGATCCGTCTGGCCTGGCGGCCCCAACTAGAGCACAACCTAGAGCACAACCTAGAGCACAACCTAGGGCACAACTCATGAAGAGGTATATTTTCATAGAAAAAATGGCACTCAACCTTCCCAAATCAAAAAAGAATCAATACTTTCTTTATTTTCGAACGCGAATTCGTGCCAGACTACCATGAAATTAGTTGTGCTCTAGGTTGTGCTCTAGGTTGTGCTCTAGGTTGTGCTCTAGTTGTGCTCTAGTTGTGCTCTAAGGCGACCCCTGGGATAAGCGGTCGCCTGCCCTCCCCGCCCCCGGACCTTCAATCCGACGGAATTGGCTTTCCTCCGCGTTTGGTAGAAGTGGCATAACGCACCGCCAACAAGTCGCGAAGGCAAGCGCTGTTGGTCGCAGCACCGGCCGCGAGCTCCACGTTGCAAGCGCCGGGCAACGCGCCCTGCCGCCTCCTCCGCCGCGGGCCAGACGCGCGGGCAACGCGTTGCACGATGTTCTGGACACACGTGCAAACGACATGAAGCCGCAATGATACGCAGGCTGTGTCCCGCGCGGGCCTGCAGCAAGGCCCACGAATTCAGACGGACCCAGTCCGCGGGGAGCACCTCGTCCACGGCAACCGCACCCATCGCGCGGACATCCGCCAGCAAGGCGTCTGCCTGCGCGCGGGGTATGCGCGCGTCGGACATGAGGTCGTCGAAGCCGCTCACAAGCGGCACGCCCGCGTCTGCCCCGACCGGCGCAGCGGGCGCCGGGCGGAAAACGCCGACGGCGTCGAACTTTGCCGCCTCCCGGACGATCCACGCGGTCATGCACGGAGCACACGAGAGTACGTCCTGCAAAGAGCCGTCCGACAAGACGGAGGTGAATGGGAACTGCCTCGCGCGGTTCTGCATGTGCCGGATGTCCTCCACACCCGCCTTATTCGTCGTCCCCCAGAGGCCCTCCAGCTTGCCCGTGAAAACGGCGCCGTGGTTCCAGCAGACGTCCTTGTTCCCGTCGTTGAAGAACTGGGAAGCCTGGATCTCGGTGTGCTGGCCGACGAACAGAGACAGGAACAAAGAGACGGGGACGGTCTTCTCGTGGGCGAACTCAACCGGCCGGAAGTCGTCCCAGAAGATGAACCGCTTCGTGCCGCTGGCCAGGTTCCGGAGTCCAAAGGAGGAGCCCAAGGCAGGCTTGTGCAGAACCCGTTTCGGAGTGAACAAGTCGTCGAAAGGGTAAACCACCGTGCTCTTCCCGGAATTCGACGGCCCCACCAGGAAGGGCACCCTCGTCGTCTTCGGGCCGACCATCAGAATGTCCCGCAGGGACGCCGCGAGCTCCCGAACGTCGAAAGAAGCGGCGCTGCGGGAGAAGATGGTCTCCACGGCTGACCTGTACGAGCACGCCGGGCCATGGGGGCATGTCTCCTCAGCGCAGCGGCACACGAGCGTCCAATCGTCCACCGCCTCGAAGGCCGCGTTCTCGCGGGCAGACGCCCACTCCTTCGTCTCCTCAAGGTCCGCCGTCAGCTTGCGCACTCGGCTGCGGACGAACCGCTGCATGGTCTTCGTCCCGCGGTCCTGGACGTGCGCCATCAGACGCGCGGGCAACGCGTTGCACGATGTTCTGGACTCACGTGCAAACGACATGAAGCCGCAATGATACGCAGGCTGTGTCCCGCGCTGGCCTGCACTAAGGCAAACGCGCGTAAAGCGCAGGAGTCGCGAGCACCGCAGGGCCCTCGCCATGGGCAGCCGAGCACCTCCCGAAAGGCAGGGATGGAACAGTAGCAGCACGGCTACGATTTTCAAGTCTACGGATCCACGACACGTTTCTCGGTGCATGCGCTGCGGCAGGAATTCTGAAATCTCTCGGCGGTCACTGAGGAAAAATCCGCTCTGGCAGAGGCCGAGCCGCCGATTCGGCTGGCTCCCCGGCCGCGGCTGGAAAAATTGCGTCGTGGCAAAGACCGTGCCGCCGACTCGGCTGATCAGCGCCAACGCTCCCGGGCCGCAGGCTCAATCGCTCGGGATCCTGCCTCCCTCGGCCACGACGCCCTCCGCCGCCTTCGTCTTCATCTTAGCCACGGCTGCCCTGATGACGCTCTTCGGGATGCCCATGGCGACGCGCCTGAGGCGCGCCTTGTAAGCGCTCTGAGACTCGTTGGCCGGCGCGCTCTGCTCTGCCATTCGCCGGTTGACCTCCGCCCAGAGGAAATAGTCGAGGGGGTTCAAGTCCGGGGAATACTTGGGGAACTTGATGGGGGTGATCTTGAGACCCCGCCTGAGAGCGACCGAGCGGGGTCGACCGAGGCGCGAGCGGCGGGCGATCAAGAGCGGGCGCCGAGTGGCGGGGCGATCGCCAGACGGGGCCCGACTCGAACTCGCGGCCGCCGCGGTGGCGCGCCAACTAAGGGGGCCGCTTGCAGTCAACGGCCTTCTTGCTATTGTACCCCGTGGGGTCGTTATCCTCCAGGATGCGGAAGGCGCGGCGCCCCTTCCGGCAACGGCGAAGCGCGGGAGCGAGGACGCCCGCGTAGAAATCGCAGGCTGCGTCGGCGCACCACAGGGTGGGCAGGTAGTGCCAGACGCGGACCTTGTTGTTCACGATGGCTGCGGCCACGTGAACCTTGGACCTTGGCGCCTGGGTTCACCCTGTTCTGGTTCCCCTTCGGCTTCGTGAAAGGCTTGAGGACCTCGGGGGAGGGCCCGGCCAGCCGGCCCCCCGCCCGGCCCCCCCCCCCGCCCCTCGCATCCGAAAGAAACTACGCCAATAAGAACCCTCATACCAGAAAGAAACGACGCCAAGAAAAACATGTCCGATCGCCTGGACGGGGCCGATCAGACCCGATCAGACTTGGATCGCAGACATGGATCGGGGCAACGATCGGGGGCGGAATTGGCATCTCGACTTCGGCGGCCCGGCGGCCCCCGCCCCCAGCCCCTGGGGTCGCACTCGGGACCGAGAGTCGCGCCCCCTCTGCCTTGGTGCGAAGGTGGCCGCGAACGCGACTCTTCTTTGCGTGCGTCTTCGCCCGCTTGGTCATGGGGATGGGGGACACCTTATTGTCGATGATGGCATCGACCTGGTGCGTGAAATAGTTGCCCGGGAGCCGCTTCCACCCCGAACGCGCCGCCACGCGCTCCTCCGCCTCCGCGGAGCCGCGGAGCGGCTCCGCGCGGGGAGCGCGCCAGGTGACCCCGAGGCGCTTGAAGTGCCTGGAGGCCGTGCCCATGTGGACGTCGGAGACCCGCGCGGCCTTCATCACGTCCTTGAGGTGAACCTCGGCCTCGCCCTTGGCCGCCCGAGTCAAACGAACCCGCGCGTTGTTCAAGGCGCGGAGCTTGACGGCCGTGAGCTTGGGCTTGCGGCCGCGAGTCTCCGCTGGGCCACGCCTGTGCGTGGCGCCCCGGAGGGCCCGGCGGACGGTCGTCAAATCCGGCCCAGTCTCGTCGAGGGACTCACGGGTCCGACTAACGAGGTCGCGTATCTCCACCGGGGTCTTCCCAGCGGCGTAAGCGAGAAGCAGCGGTTGAGCTCCCTCTTGCTGAGGTGGGGCGCCATCTGGGCCCGCGACCGAAAAAGGGGTCAGATGGCCTCGGGGCGGGGCGAGGCCGTTGCTGCGGTGACGACTGAGCCGAAACAGATGCGCCAGGTGAACGGAAGGCTTGTCGATGTGACCGGGGCACGCGGCGGCGCTCATAGTCTGGCGTCGCTCTTGACGCCGCCCTCAAGACGGGTGGCTTCGGGCAGCCTCAAAGTCCTTGCAGGGCGCCAACGGGAGAGCGCAACCCGTTGGGCAGCGGGGAGGGGGCCAGTCTTGCAACGCAACCCATGCAGATGCCCGTAGCCGAAGATGCCATGGCAAAGGAGTCCGCCGCTTGCGAAATAAACGCCCACGCGTGGAAGTACCGAGATCCCCGCCCCGCGCCCCGCATTTCAATGTTGGCCACCGAACACGCCGAAGGGGAGTTCGAAGCGTTGCGAAATAAACGCCCACATATGTTGGACTGCCCAGCCCTCCCCGTCAACCTTGAAATGCGGGGGAAGGGGGCGTGCTTCGTCGTCTTGTTTTCGATCCCTAAGATGGGCGCTTATTTCGCAAACGGCGGTACCCCCCACGAGCGTCTTATAGTGACACAGCGCTGTACATTCACACAAACACACATATATATATGTATATTCCCATATTTATATGTTGTATGTGTATATATATATGTATATATACCCGTGTATACATAAGTGTGTATGTACACCCTATTTGCACATCCATATGCCTTTCCCCTATGTGTGCATACACCCATGCATACACGTACGTGCATGCATGCATTCACGCCGCCACGCAATCCGAGGCTATTCACGCGACGCTACCCGTGCGGAATCGTCCGGTGGCGACAAAACGCTGATGGCCCCCCTTACTCTCCCCTGCAGCTTCCGTCCACTCTGCCCTGTCTACCTCGTCTCGCACTTCTACCCCTTCGAGGCGTCATTTCCGCGCAAAGACGATGGATGCGCTGCCGGGTGCCACGCGCGCGCACGCGTAACCCCACTGGGCGGCGCCAGCGGCGCCCGCGCGCGCGTGCTCACGGGGGTGCAAAAGCTGACAGGCGGGCGCTCGCAAACCAAGTGGACTTGGTCAGCGGTGCCCGCACGCGCGTGCTTCCGGAAGCGCAAAAGCTGAGAGGCGGGCGTGCGCAACCCAACTGGACTTCGCCAGCGGTAACCGCACGCGCACCCTCGCGAGCATGCAAAAGACGCGGGGCGGAGCGCTGGCCCGGCGCTGCCCGCGCGCCCCCTCAGGGCGAAACCGGAGAGCCGATTTGCCCAAGAAGTCTGCGCTTCTGGAGCGGGAGCAGCAAGGCCCACGAATTCAGACGGACCCAGTCCGCGGGGAGCACCTCGTCCACGGCAACCGCACCCATCGCGCGGACATCCGCCAGCAAGGCGTCTGCCTGCGCGCGGGGTATGCGCGCGTCGGACATGAGGTCGTCGAAGCCGCTCACAGGCGGCACGCCCGCGTCTGCCCCGACCGGCGCAGCGGGCGCCGGGCGGAAAACGCCGACGGCGTCGAACTTTGCCGCCTCCCGGACGCTCCACGCGGTCATGCACGGAGCACACGAGAGTACGTCCTGCAAAGAGCCGTCCGACAAGACGGAGGTGAATGGGAACTGCCTCACGCGGTTCTGCATGTGCCGGATGTCCTCCGCACCCACCTTATTCGTCGTCTCCCAGAGGCCCTCCAGCTTGCCCGTGAAAACGGCGCCATGGTTCCAGCAGACGCCCTTGTTCCCGTCGTTGAAGGACTGGGAAACCTGGATCTCGGTGTGCTGGCCGACGAACAGAGACAGGAACAAAGAGACGGGGGCGGTCTTCTCGTGGGCGAACTCAACCGGCCGGAAGTCGCCCCAGAAGATGAACCGCTTCGTGCCGCTGGCCAGGTTCCGGAGTCCAAAGGAGGAGCCCAAGGCAGGCTTGCGCAGAACCCGTTTCGGAGTGAACAAGTCGTCGAAAGGGTAAACTACCGTGCTCTTCCCGGAATTCGACGGCCCCACCAGGAAGGGCACCCTCGTCGTCTTCTTCGGGCCGACCATCAGAATGTCCCGCAGAGACGCCGCGAGCTCCCGAACGTCGAAAGAAGCGGCGCTGCGGGAGAAGATGGTCTCCACGGCTGACCTGTACGAGCACGCCGGGCCATGGGGACATGTCTCCTCAGCGCAGCGGCACACGAGCGTCCAATCGTCCACCGCCTCGAAGGCCGCGTTCTCGCGGGCAGACGCCCACTCCTTCGTCTCCTCAAGGTCCGCCGTCAGCTTGCGCACTCGGCTGCGGACGAACCGCTGCATGGCCTTCGTCCCGCGGTCCTGGACGTACGCCATCAGGCTGCCCTTCGTCCACAAGTGCTTGGCGATGATGGTCGAAGTCAAGTCTACGAGGTCGAACGTCGTCTTCGTGCCCATCGCCCCGGCCGCCTTGTCCGTGGCCTCCCGGCGCTTCACCCACACGCCTGCCATGTATGGCTCCTGCGACATCTCGAAGAGGTCGATGGCGTCGTTCTCGCGCGCGAACCCGGCCCAGTCTGGCTGCCACACCCACGGGGCGTCGTCGACATCTGGTTTGGCTGGGGTCTCCATATACCCGTACCTCACGGCGCTCCACATTCGCTGGTGGGAACCAGAGAAATGGCTCGGCAACAAATGGCGCTCGCGCAGAGTGCGCTTGGCCTGCTGGAAACGGCCCGACCTAGTCAGCTTCACAGCAACGTGGAAATGGATCGCGCCGTCTTTGTGCTTCTCCTGGAACACCACCGCCATGGACACGAGCGCTTGGCCGTCCGGTTCCTGCCTAGTGCGGCCGCCCGCGGACCCAGTCGGAATCGGATTGTTGAATGCGTCGGCCACTGCTTTTCCGCTGTCCTCCCGGCTCATCGTGCCAAGATCGCGGTACTGGCGGCCGTCGGGAAGGGTCGCGTCCAGGACGCGCGATATGGTCACCAAGTATACCCACTGCAACGAGTCCAGCTTCTCGGCCTCAGCCAACACGGTCTCCAGAGGCGACGCGGCGTCCTGGTCGGGCTGCGTTTCCGAAACGACCTCGGTTGTCAGGCTCTTGAACTCGTGCTTGCGTTGGTCCAAAGCATGCTCTTGCAAACCGAGTTTCAAAGCGACCTGGCGGCGACACTCACGCGACGAAATGTGTTTCAAGTCCTTGCCTACTAAGACGGCCTTCAAGGCGTCCCGGATGGCTTTGGTTTCGACGGCCTCGGCGTCCACGCCTGCGGACGGGACTGGGGGAGACGGCACCACGTACCCCGTGTCCGTCTTCTGCCGCAAGCGGCGCCTCGGCATAGACGGGTCTGTGAGCATTGCAGTGCACGGTACTCCCAGTGACAGGTGCCAAGGTCCGCACGGTTCCCCCTATAAGACTTGAGCCACAAGGCAGCTGCAGTGGTTTTAAGCACCAATGGCCATGAGCACCAGGACGGCTGTGAGCACCACTTCAAAGCCTGAGAGCACCTCAGAGCCCATTAAGTAAGAACGGCTTGAGCCGAAGCGCCTGTGGGCGCTACAAGGCTGGTGATCACCGCAACAGCCTCAGAGCACCACAGAACTCGAAAGGACCTCAGAGCACCGCAACAGCTACAGAGCACCACAGGACGTGAGTCTCAACGTGCCTGCGAGCACCGACTGGTCAGAGGAAGGGGGAGGGAGGGGGAGGGAAAGGTATGCCCACCAACTGGACATCGACGACATTCCCAAGACAACCCAAACAGGCGCTGGAACTGCCAAATGGCCCAAGATTGCCCCAAAACCTGTCTGGGTCGGAGCGGGAAAACCGATGCAACTTGTCCCAAGAGTGCAAGCGAGGCCGATTCCCTCTCCCTGAATCCACCGCACTCCGAGGGCTCTGGAAGCCGGGGGCGGAGGGGTGGAGAGGACTTGGGGGTTCTGGAGGGTTCTGGAGGTTTTGGGAAGTCCTCCGAAAGTAGAAAGAGTTTGGGAGGGTTCCCGAGGATTTGGGAGCAGTGCGAGGGTTTCGGATGTATGGGGAGTTGTGGAGGTTTTGGGGGGAGCGCGGAGGGGTTAGAAGGTAGGGGGGGGTTCTGGAGGGTTTGGAGGTTTTGGGAAGTCTTCCAAAAGTTTAGGGGGTGTGGGAGGGTTCCGGAGGATTTGGGAGCAGTGCGAACGAGGGTTTCGGATGCATGGGGGTGGGGGGTGGGGGGAGGAGGTATGGGGGGGTTCTGGAGGGTTCTGGAGGTTTTGGGAAGTCTTCTGAAAATTTAGGGGGGTTGGGAGGGTTCCGGAGGATTTGGGAGCAGTGCGAGGGTTTCGGATGCATGGGGGTGGGGGGTGGGGGGAGTGCGGAGGGGTTAGGAGGTATGGGAGGGTTCTGGAGGGTTCTGGAGGTTTTGGGAAGTCTTCCGAAAATTTAGGGGGGTTGGGAGGGTTCCGGAGGATTTGGGAGCAGTGCGAGGGTTTCGGATGTATGGGGAGTTGTGGAGGTTTTAGGGGGAGCGCGGAGGGGTTAGGAGGTATGGGAGGGTTCTGGAGGGTTCTGGAGGTTTTGGGAGGTCTCCAATAGCTTCGCTGTCGATTTCAAGATCGATCTCACGATCAATATCACTATCGATCTCACTGTCGATTCCACGGTCGACCTTAAGATATATCTCAAAATCCACGATCGATCTCAGAATCGAGCTCACGAAATCCGCACCAAATTCAGTGGGGCGCCGGAACATACGAAGATTGTATAATCGTACAAAACCAATAACATTGCACAGAATCGGACTCTCCAGGTGCTCTCCAGGTGCACCCCCGGTCAAGCGGCCGCCTCGCGACAGGGCGACGCGACCCTGCGGGTGTCTGAAGGGCGATGATAATGGCAATGCCAATGGAGGGAGAGCGGGAGGCAGGGAGGGAGCGCAAGCGGCGGCCCACATTGCCAGGAATCGGTGCTCTCGCCTCCGCGCCGGGCAATCCTCACAAGGGGGCGCGCAGAGTCCTGAGAAGAAAAATCAAAACAAATCCCCTGTTTAGGGCGCCGAATTTTCCACCCGGCTGCCCTGGCCCCCTGGGGGTCCCCCGTTGCAATCTACCCTTGCTGTCCGAAAACAACAAAAAAACAAAAAAGTTTCGTTTGCGTGTCCTTCCCTGCTCCAATTCAATACCCCTCACAGACTCCGAACCCTCCCTCGGGCAGCAGGGACTACTCCGTCAATCCACAAGAGCAATTAAATCTTTGCGGAAAATCTCGGGAGTGTGTGCTTACCAAGCTTGGGAAGGTAGCGCGCCGTGAATGGGGCTGGGGAAGGTGAGTGCCTGGCCGTAGGCCTTCCGGTCCGGACACGCAATCAAAAAAACGACGGGGGGGGGGGAAGCGTGGCCAGCGCGACGGCGAGAGCACCATTCCGACGTCCACGTGCAACCCTGTGGTACGTAACGGGCCCACAAAGAAAACGGCTCCGACACGAGCGAGGGATCCATGTTCAGACATATTTTCTCGGAGTGTACGCCTGGGGCGTCCGCCGTCGACATGGACGCGGGTCCTGGCGCGGTTCGGTCTGGCCCGGCAAAAGCCTCGGCGCCTGGGCGGGCGTGCGCAAGCCTCCCCGATAGGGAGGAGAGAGGAACACGCTGTGACCAGCGCGACGGCGAGGGTGCCATTCCGACCAGCGACCCGAACACGGCGAACTTCGCCCACGACCCGCGCTCGCGACCCGCGACACGACGCGCGCCCCGCGCCCGCCACCCGTCTACGATCCGTCTGGCCTGGCGGCCCCAACTAGAGCACAACCTAGAGCACAACCTAGAGCACAACCTAGAGCACAACTCATGAAGGTATATATTTTCATAGAAAAAATGGCACTCAACCTTCCCAAATCAAAAAAGAATCAATACTTTCTTTATTTTCGAACGCGAATGCGTGCCAGACTACCATGAAATGAGTTGTGCTCTAGGTTGTGCTCTAGGTTGTTCTCTAGGTTGTGCTCTAGTTGTGCTCTAGTTGTGCTCTAAGGCGGCCCCTGGGATAAGCGGTCGCCTGCCCTCCCCGCCCCCGGACCTTCAATCCGACGGAATTGGCTTTCCTCCGCGTTTTGTAGAAGTGGCATAACGCACCGCCAACAAGTCGCGAAGGCAAGCGCTGTTGGTCGCAGCACCGGCCGCGAGCTCCACGTTGCAAGCGCCGGGCAACGCGCCCTGCCGCCTCCTCCGCCGCGGGCCAGACGCGCGGGCAACGCGTTGCACGATGTTCTGGACACACGTGCAAACGACATGAAGCCGAAATGATACGCAGGCTGTGTCCCGCGCGGGCCTGCAGCAAGGCCCACGAATTCAGACGGGCCCAGTCCGCGGGGAGCACCTCGTCCACGGCAGCCGCACCCATCGCGCGGACATTCGCCAGCAAGGCGTCTGCCTGCGCGCGGGGTATGCGCGCGTCGGACACGAGGTCGTCGAAGCCGCTCACAGGCGGCACGCCCGCGTCTGCCCCGACCAGCGCAGCGGGCGCCGGGCGGAAAACGCCGACGGCGTCGAACTTTGCCGCCTCCCGGACGATCCACGCGGTCATGCGCGGAGCACACGAGAGTACGTCCTGCAAAGAGCCGTCCGACAAGACGGAGGTGAATGGGAACTGCCTCGCGCGGTTCTGCATGTGCCGGATGTCCTCCGCACCCACCTTATTCGTCGTCCCCCAGAGGCCCTCCAGCTTGCCCGTGAAAACGGCGGCGTGGTTCCAGCAGACGTCCTTGTTCCCGTCGTTGAAGGACTGGGAAACCTGGATCTCGGTGTGCTGGCCGACGAACAGAGACAAGAACAAAGAGACGGGGACGGTCATCTCGTGGGCGAACTCAACCGGCCGGAAGTCGTCCCAGAAGATGAACCGCTTCGTGCCGCTGGCCAGGTTCCGGAGTCCAAAGGAGGAGCCCAAGGCAGGCTTGTGCAGAACCCGTTTCGGAGTGAACAAGTCGTCGAAAGGGTAAACCACCGTGCTCTTCCCGGAATTCGACGGCCCCACCAGGAAGGGCACCCTCGTCGTCTTCTTCGGGCCGACCATCAGAATGTCCCGCAGAGACGCCGCGAGCTCCCGAACGTCGAAAGAAGCGGCGCTGCGGGAGAAGATGGTCTCCACGGCTGACCTGTACGAGCACGCCGGGCCATGGGGACATGTCTCCTCAGCGCAGCGGCACACGAGCGTCCAATCGTCCACCGCCTCGAAGGCCGCGTTCTCGCGGGCAGACGCCCACTCCTTCGTCTCCTCAAGGTCCGCCGTCAGCTTGCGCACTCGGCTGCGGACGAACCGCTGCATGGTCTTCGTCCCGCGGTCCTGGACGTGCGCCATCAGACGCGCGGGCAACGCGTGGCACGATGTTCTGGACACACGTGCAAACGACATGAAGCCGCAATGATACGCAGGCTGTGTCCCGCGCGGGCCTGCACTAAGGCAAACGCGCGTAAAGCGCAGGAGTCGCGAGCACCGCAGGACCCTCGCCATGGGCAGCCGAGCACCTCCCGAAAGGCAGGGATGGAACAGTAGCAGCACGGCTACGATTTTCAAGTCTACGGATCCACGACACGTTTCTCGGTGCATGCGCTGCGGCAGGAATTCTGAAATCTCTCGGCGGTCACTGAGGAAAAATCCGCTCTGGCAGAGGCCGAGCCGCCGATTCGGCTGGCTCCCCGGCCGCGGCTGGAAAAATTGCGTCGCGGCAAAGACCGTGCCGCCGACTCGGCTGATCAGCGCCAATGCTCCCGGGCCGCAGGCTCAATCGCTCGGGATCCTGCCTCCCTCGGCCACGACGACCTCCGCCGCCTTCGTCTTCATCTTAGCCACGGCTGCCCTGATGACGCTCTTCGGGATGCCCATGGCGACGCGCCTGAGGCGCGCCTTGCAAGCGCTCTGAGACTCGTTGGCCGGCGCGCTCTGCTCTGCCATTCGCCGGTTGACCTCCGCCCAGAGGAAGTAGTCGAGGGGGTTCAAGTCCGGGGAATACTTGGGGAACTTGATGGGGGTGATCTTGAGACCCCGCCTGAGAGCGACCGAGCGGGGTCGACCGGGGCGCGAACGGCGGGCGATCAAGAGCGGGCGCCGACTGGCGGGGCGATCGCCAGACGGGGCCCGACTCGAACTCGCGGCCGCCGCGGTGGCGCGCCAACTAAGGGGGCCGCTTGCAGTCAACGGCCTTCTTGCTCTTGTACCCCGTGGGGTCGTTATCCTCCAGGATGCGGAAGGCGCGGCGCCCCTTCCGGCAACGGCGAAGCGCGGGAGCGAGGACGCCCGCGTAGAAATCGCAGGCTGCGTCGGCGCACCACAGGGTGGGCAGGTAGTGCCAGACGCGGACCTTGTTGTTCACGATGGCTGCGGCCACGTGAACCTTGGCGCCTGGGTTCACCCTGTTCCGGTTCCCCTTCGGCTTCGTGAAAGGCTTGAGGACCTCGGGGGAGGGCCCGGCCAGCCGGCCCCCCGCCCGGCCCCCCCCCCCGCCCCTCGCATCCGAAAGAAACTACGCCAATAAGAACCCTCATACCAGAAAGAAACGACGCCAAGAAAAACATGTCCGATCGCCTGGACGGGGCCGATCAGACCCGATCAGACTTGGATCGCAGACATGGATCGGGGCAACGATCGGGGGCGGAATCGGCATCTCGACTTCGGCGGCCCGGCGGCCCCCGCCCCCAGCCCCTGGGATCGCACTCGGGACCGAGAGTCGCGCCCCCTCTGCCTTGGTGCGAAGGTGGCCGCGAACGCGACTCTTCTTTGCGTGCGTCTTCGCCCGCTTGGTCATGGGAATGGGGAACACCTTATTGTCGATGATGGCATCGACCTGGTGCGTGAAATAGTTGCCCGGGAGCCGCTTCCACCCGGAACGCGCCGCCACGCGCTCCTCCGCCTCTGCGGAGCCGCGGAGCGGCTCCGCGCGGGGGGCGCGCCAGGTGACCCCGAGGCGCTTGAAGTGCCTGGAGGCCGTGCCCTTGTGGACGTCGGAGACCCGCGCGGCCTTCATCACGTCCTTGAGGTGAACCTCGGCCTCGCCCTTGGCCGCCCGAATCAAACGAACCCGCGCGTTGTTCAAGGCGCGGAGCTTGACGGCCGTGAGCTTGGGCTTGCGGCCGCGAGTCTCCGCTGGGCCACGCCTGTGCGCGGCGCCCCGGAGGGCCCGGCGGACGGTCGTCAAATCCGGCCCAGTCTCGTCGAGGGACTCACGGGTCCGACTAACGAGGTCGCGTATCTCCACCGGGGTCTTCCCAGTGGCGTAGAGCGAGAAGCAGCGGTCGAGCTCCCTCTTGCTGAGGTGGGGCGCCATCTGGGCCCGCGACCGAAAAAGGGGTCAGATGGCCTCGGGGCGGGGCGAGGCCGTTGCTGCGGTGACGACTGAGCCGAGACAGCTGCGCCAGGTGAACGGAAGGCTTGTCGATGTGACCGGGGCACGCGGCGGCGTTCATAGTCTGGCGTCGCTCTTGACGCCGCCCTCAAGACGGGCGGCTTCGGGCAGCCTCAAAGTCCTTGCAGGGCGCCAACGGGAGAGCGCAACCCGTTGGGCAGCGGGGAGGGGGCCAGTCTTGCAACGCAACCCATGCAGATGCCCGTAGCCGAAGATGCCATGGCAAATGAGTCCGCCGTTTGCGAAATAAACGCCCACGTGTGGAAGTACCGAGATCCCCGCCCCGCGCCCCGCATTTCAATGTTGGCCACCGAACACGCCGAAGGGGAGTGCGAAGCGTTGCGAAATAAACGCCCACATATGTTGGACTGCCCAGCCCTCCCCGTCAACCTTGAAATGCGGGGGAAAGGGGGCGTGCTTCGTCGTCTTGTTTTCGATCCCTAAGATGGGCGTTTATTTCGCAAACGGCGGTTTCACTGAGGTGGTGGGTTTTGGTCATGGGGGAAGCGCCAGCTCACCTCCCAAACTGCCTATCCTTCGCCTGGCGCCCCTACTGGGGGCCCTGCGGACATCTGTTTTTAGCCTCCGCCGCCAGCCGCGCCCGCGACGCCCGCGGGAGCGCGCAGACACGGAGGTATTCGATGTCATAGTTCGATGCATCTGGCGCAGCCCCTGATTTCTGGGCTGCGGTCGAGTCATGCCCGGCCGAGCTCGCCCTAGCCGTTGACCTCCCCGTGTCCCTCTCCACCCTGTTGCAGCGCTTGCGCTAGACATAGCTCCCCCGAGGGGCTCGGGGCAGCAGCCGATTTCGGTGCACTTGTTCACCGATGGTTCGCTCGATCCAGCCGATCCCCGATCTGCTGCGCGGTCCGTGGTCGTGGTCGATCGTCGCGTTGACGGTTTCGCCTTCCAGGGGGCGTTGTGGGGTCGCGTCTGTTCCTCGCTCGATTGGCCACTCGTTTGCGAGTCAATCTTCGAGCCTCGAGCCGGAAATGGCGGCGCTCCAGTGGGGGATATTGCGGGTTGGCGCCCAAAGTTTTCTTGCCCCAGGGGTCGCAATCGAAACCGATAATGCGGCGGCTCTCCAGGTCGCGCAGGGCCGATCCGATGCCCCCCCCCCCTGCCGCGTTCCTTGCCGCCAGTGCCACCCGTGGAACGAGCTCGCCGACTCCATTGCTAAATGGACCCGTTCTGCACCTCTCTAGGCCCCTCGCGGCTCAGCTGGGCTTCCAGGCCAGCATGGATTGGACGTTGCCGTTGGGCGCTGCTCCGGCCGAGCGACGCGCGTGCCCTCCCATTGAAGACAGGGGATTTGCGCTCCCCCCCCGTCGCGCCCCCGTCGGTTTCGAATCCGCCCTTGAGCAGGGGGGCCCACCGGCAGCAGAGGTACCAGAGCCAGTGCCAATAGAAAACACGGGGGTGGAGGAGGAGGAAGACGTAGAGGATGAACATGCAGAGGCGTCCAATCATGTCCGTGTTTCCCAAAGAATGGGAACTTGCAATGCCCATTCCCTGCGCGGGGATTCAGCTCCTACAGCTTCGGTGTCGCGCCTCTCCGGCGCGGAGTCGCTCAGGGTCCAACTCCGCGATTCGGGATTCCACGCTCTGGGCGCGCAGGAAGCCCGCGCGACCGAGGGCGCGCGCGCGGCTGGGGGCTTCCTCACGCTTGCGGGGGGTAGCGACAAGGGCAACCTAGGGTGCGTATTTTGGGTCGCCACCGACACGCCCTGCGCGAGGTCAGGTCTCAAGGAGTTCTTCCTCCGTCGCTCTCATCTTATAGTCCTCCACGAATCCCCTCGCCTGTTGGTGGTCCGAGTCTCTGCGCCGCCCGTGCCGCCTGCATGGTGGCCCATGCCCTCCATTCCGACCACCCTCTCGTGTACGTTAGGGGCTGGTGGAGGGAGGCCACGGCCACGGCAGTCAATTTTGGCGCCGCCTGCTTCCTTGGTGATGTCAGCGGCCGCCTCGACCAGTCACCCGCCCCATTCGCAGGGTCGTGCGGCTTCGCGCAAACAGTCGATCGAGGGGGTGCCGAGTTTCTGGAGCCGTTGCATTCCTCTCCCCTTTTCGCCCCCACCACGCTCCTCCTTCCCCCTGGGGCCTCTCGCACTTGGGTTTCCGCCGCGGGGTCGAAGCATCGCATCGATTTTGTTGCCTTGAGGGGCACTTTGCCCCGTCTGGTAGAAAACACAGGGTAATCGAGGATCTGGACAGACCACGCGATTGCGAGGATCACCTTCCGGCGCGGGTCGATCTCGAGTGGCTCGTCCCTCCCAGGCCCCCCCGGCCAGCCGCGTTCTCCCTGGTCGGTCTCAAGGGCCCCGCAGCGGTGCAGGCATTCCGGTAAGCTCTGCTAGACTCGCCTCTGCCGGAGTGGTCCGTTGATGCTCACGCGCGCGATTCGACGCCGCGGGATGTATTTCTGGCACTTGCGCGCCGGCTCTTTCCACCCGAGCCAACGGCGCCCGCGCGCCCCCTTGTCAGATCATTCATTTTGAAAGTGATACGGAGGAGGCGGGCACTCCGCGCGCCATCCCACTCGAGCCCCGAGTTGAAGCTAAGGTCTGGAAAATCTCGCTACGTCGCTCCTCTGCCGCCGTTCCTTCTCCCTCCTTGACTCTCTGCCGCCCTCTGCTGCTGCTCCGTTGGCTGCTTGTGCGGTTGCCAGTTCATGGCTGATCGTTGCGTTTTCTTTGAGGATTTGGGGGGGGCAGGTCGTCCAGGCTGGGCGGGCCCCCGACTCGGCCCAGCTGTGGCGGCCCTTTCGCATTCTGCAGAGTTTTGGAGGGGGCGTGGTCGAAAAGCTACCGGCGCCTCCTGGCAGCTGCCATATCGCACGGATCCGTTGGGTAACGCCCTCACATCGCCCCAGGTCATAGCTGCGGATGTTCGTTCGAATTTCGCCAAGTTTGAAACGACAGAGATTTTGCCGCCACTTGCCCGAGCTCGGAGGCACAACAAAGGGGGGCGCAATTTAGGTGCTGGGATCTCGCGTTCAATCCATCACGTCATGCTCCTCCGGCAACGCATTTCGCAGTTCAAAAAAGCAGCGAAGTGCGCGGCGCCAGGGCCTGACGGGATTCCAGATGCACTGTTGCGTGCTGCGCCAAAGCCATGGCTCGACTGGCGCGCCCGGTCGCGGTCAAGGTCCAGCTGCACGTGAAAGAGCCACTCGCGTGGCATGGCGGCGCGGCGGCCCCCCCTGACAAGAGCTCAGGGGAATCATGTCTTATCGCCTTCTATCGGCAAATCCTCCTCATGAGCAACGTCGCCAAACACCGCGGCCGGTTCCTCCGGAAACAGCTCCTCTCTATCACTTCCTTCTTCTGGGAAACACAGTGCGGGGGGCTTGAAGGCCGCCCAACAATGGCTTCGCACGTGGCCCGAACCTTGCCTCTGCCCACCCAGCAGAGGAAAGTCTCGACGGTTTTTTCACAGACATTAAAGCCGCATTTAATTCCGCGGTGCGGGACTTTGTTCCTCCCCTTCCCGCGGACCCCAAGGACTTGGCCGAAGCGTCTGGCAGCGCAGACATCCCATTGCCGCTGCTTCCTGCCCTGAAGGCTGCCTTGGCTCAGCCTAGCCTCCTGGATCCTGCGACTCCCGGCCAGCATCTAGTGGCCGTGGCGCCTGAAGCGCGCGCGCCCCCGGTTCCAAGTTGCGGGTGGTTGCGAGATCTGCCGCGTTCGCGCGGGGGCACGGCCAGGGGGCCCCCTGGCCGAATGGGTTTTCAATGTGTCATCCACCCTCCTCCTGGCAAGGATAAGGGGGGACCTAGAACGCGCGGGCCCCCCGCCCTACTCGACGACCCCCAGGGGCGTTTTCTCCCCCCCCGACGAGCGCAGGGGCGCGGAGGCCGCAGAGGTCGCCTACGCAGACGATATGCTTGCTCTGCGTGTGGCTCTGGCTAACAATCGTCTCCGTGAACTGATCGGGCACGCTGTGGACATTTTGTACGCAGCCATGATGGAGGGAGGGTTGCGCTTGAATTTCGGCCCAGGAAAAAACAGGGGCCCTGGACCGGTTAATGCACGCAAGGACCTTCCGTTGCGCGCCCAGCCAGGTGCTTTCGCCCAGGTGCCGGCAAGCGGCCAACCTGGTTTCCAAGTGCAAGCATTTGGGTAGTATGGCCCATCGTTCAGGTGCGAGGTGGCCTATCGGAGGCGGCAGTTTCATGTGGCCCTGGGTCCGCTCAGTCGATCAGTTTTTCCTCGCGCCCGACTGCCGCTTCCCACGAAACTGATGCGGTTGCATTCGCTGGGGTTTTCTCGATTGCTTTTCGACGCAACGGCGCGGCACCGGTTGCGCGCGCATGCTCTCGATTTGTCGCAGGCTGCGCATCTGAAGGGCCGTCGGGCGGCGGCCCGATTGCGGACGAGGCCGGATGGCCCCCAGCCTTCGGTCGAGGACGTTTTGGGTCACGCGGGGGAGGTCCCCGGGGAGATTCGCATCCGCAGCATCAGACTCCGCCACGTGCCCAACTTGCTCCTCGAAGCCCCCCCTCGCAATTACGGTTGCTCCTCGATCTAACAGCCCATCGCAAGGACTCTCGGGCGCAAGCGCGTCGCCCGCGCGCCGGGGGCATGGGGGCCCCGCAGGGCGAGAGCCCGCCCGTCCACAGATCTCGCTGGCTCCCTGGCTGGACCCGGGGGGGCATGCCAAATTTGCCTTCGCGATTTTCGCGCCCGCCCCCGCCTCCCGAGGCATCTTCGGCGCGGAGCAGAAGCTTGTCTCCAAGGACTGATCCAATGGGGGGCTCTCCAGCAGCAGGACCACGCGGAGGCCGTCGCCCTCGGCGCGACTGGGCTCCGCCCCGCATCCGCCGAGACCCCCCCGCTCCAAGTCTACGGTCCTGCTTAAGCCCCCGCCGCCACCAAGCCACCTGCGGGCCCCCGCGCGCGTCCCAGCCCGGCAGTGAGTGGCCCGCGCAGAGCGCCTTCCCTTCCACCCGCCCCGCTCCGACATCCTCAGAGTGCGTCGCATGGTCTTCTACATGCTGCAGCTGTTTTGCGGCCTGCGCCGCCCGCGAGATGTCCGAGGCCATTTTGAGGGTTTCGTTTCGGCCGCCGGCGCCCCTCTGGTCACGCTTAGCCTGCCAATGGCCAGTGTTTAGGTCCAAGAGAACATGTCCATTTCACGTTCCATATCCTTGTTCTTGGACCTCATCAAGAATGGGCGCGCGATTGGTGTGGTCGCGAGCCCGCCACGCGCGACGCGTTAGCAGCTCGGCCCTGTTTTCTAATAACGCAGAACGGCCCCCGCCCTGTTAGATCCATCAGTAATATCTGGGGCGCCCCCGCGAGCTCCGCGGCTGAATTAAAACAACTCGACCTGGGCAACGCCCTGTACATATCGAGTCTGACTTTCATGTATGCCTGCTATATTTTTGGAGCGGCCAGCACTTTTGCACACCCCGCGCCTCCTTCGGAACCCCTGGCCCCCTCCAGTTGGTTTCTGCCAGAGAGTTCATCTGCTTGCCCTGGGCAGGCAAGACCCCAGCGGCAACTTGGATTTTGTCTGGGTCGATCAGTGCGAGTTCGCGGCGGCCGCGGTCGAACCCGCCCAGTTCTTACTGGTCGGTCAGCCCTCGTTTTGCCAGGCTCTGTCCAGCCCCCCGGCGGGGGGCGCTGTTCCCACAGGGACTGCGCAAGCAGTAGCCCGCGCGGAGTTGCCAGCGACGGCTTTGTCGAGGACCCCCCAGCAGCGCAACCCGACCGCTACATCTCGGAGTTGTGCGTTTCTATAGCGGCGCAGCTGCTCCAAGCTGCCAGGTCCCGGCTGCCAGAGGCGACCGGGTTTCCTTCTTCATGCGACGGCGCTGCTACTAGGGAGGATCTCGCACCCTTCCACTTCCCTCTGAACTCTTAGTTGTTCTCTCCTCCTTTCTTGGCTTAGCGCGCGTTCGCTCGAGTCGTCGCGCCTGTCTGTGGGGTTCTGGAGGGATGTGGAGTCAGAAGAGCAAGGGGGTATGGTGCAAACGCGGGGGCAAGAAACTACCCGCGGCCAGTGTTTTGACTGCCGCGGCCGCGCTGGTATCCAGTTTTTCTTGATGGGGAAAGCGGCGCGGCGTCGCAGCACCTAATCAACCCTTGCAGTACCATGAAGGCGGGTGATAAGGGACAGTTTTTTGAATTGGGCAGGCAGAGTGCATGGCGGTACCTGTCACCCGGGTGCGCGCGGCGCCTCATCAACTCTCGCAGTAATGGGAAGGGCGCCTGGTGTGCGCGGCACCAAACCAACCCTCGCAGTACCCATTTGTTCCTCCTCATCCTCCTCCTCCTCCTTCTCTTCCTCCTCCTCCTCCTTTTAATTCAGTGCTTCGCTGCCGCCTTCGGTACCGTCGGGAAGAAGGAGGAGGACGAGGAGGAGGAGGAGGAGGTGGAAGAGGAGGAGGAGGAGAAGTTTGATGATGATTCTGCCGGTGATGATGAATAGGAGGAGGAGGAGGAGGAGGAGGAGGAGGAGGAGGAGGAGGAGGAGGAGGAGGGGAAGGAGGAGGAGGAGGAGGAGGAGGAGGAGGAGGATGGGGAGGAGGAGGAGGAAGAGGAGGAGGAGGAGGGGGAGGAGGAGGGGGAGGAAGAAAAGGAGGAGGAGGAGGAGGGGGAGGACGACCAGTGTAAACCCAAAGCTCATCGACTACAAGGCACCCTCCCACGTCTTTTCTACGCAGGCCCCGCCCCTTCAACACTTGATGTTCATTGCGGGGTGCCCCTTTAGAAATCAAGTGTCTGAGAATCACCAACCTCGACAAAACATAATTCTTGGGATTGCAACGCCGCGAATCAACGTGGCTTTCGCGTCATGACAAGATCCGTGGAACTTCAGGACCGCGGCTTCACGTGACTGTTGCGGCCCAACAATCCTTCATCATGTCAGAGCACCGTTTCTGTTACTTGAGCCGTTCGAATCGTTAAACTTGTTGCAAGCTTTCGGTCGAACTTGCGCGGTTCCTCAGGCCGTCAATTGAAACTGCTGGGAACTCTGAAGACGAATGTGCGCGACGACATGGCGAGAGCCACATGTGCAAAACCGACCGCCTTCCATCCGCGAGTATGTTGCCAACTTTCAAGACGAATGTGCGCGACGTTAACCCGAGAGCCGCATTGTCAAGACCCTGTTGCAAATTTTGCGCACGCGCGCGACGCTGAGGCGAGAAGGTTGCACATTTCAAAATTCAGAGTAAAGTGGTAAGGCAATATTAGGCGAAACGTCTGGCCCGCCCTACCGACACTTCTGGGGGTGCGACAGGGGGGGATTTGTTTATAATGGAGTAGGAATGGAGGGGAGGGTGGAGGAGGAGGTCGAGGGCAAATTGATGAGGGAATTGTGTGTGTGTGCGTGTCATACCCTGGCACACATCGTTTTGGTGCTTGTGCTACGGAACGGTTCCCTCAATATTTTCCTGCCCCCATCTTTCTGTCTCAGCTTGCTCTTTGGTCGGGAAAACAATCTCCAGGAGGCACTCCCCGGAAGTGGGATATCTTCTTCGACTCCGTTGGCAGAGATCCCCTGCTGCACGTGCCACAGCAGGGCTTCCCGTAGGCGGCATCGTTCCCCGCCCGCGCAGCTTTGTGAGGTGGCCAGATTGACCACTTCATCCGTCCAACCGGCGCGCATTGCTGAATTTAACACGGATGGGCAGCACGGACCCAGCCTGCTGCCCCGTTCGCGGTTGCATGCTAGTTTTTTTGTTGTTTTCTTCTCGATCATCTCCATCACCTCCACCTCCACTTGAGCTCGTCCCCCTCATTTTCCTTATCCTTATCCATGCCTTCCTTTTTCTCCGCCCTCCTCCTTTGTCCTGCTACTCCTCTTTCTCCATCACCTCTTTCCCCCTTGCCCCTCGCCCACACGTCTTACTTTCCGGCGCGATTGGTTTGACCTTTCCCCCACCTCGCTGGTTCTCATGGCACTCTGCCTCCTCACTCCTCCTCTTCCTCCTCCGTCGCCTCATTCATCCTCACTCGGCGCCCTTCTCCTAGGGTACATCGCCCTCATGTTGTCTCCTTCCTCCGTCTCCTTCGCCTCCTGCTCCTCCTCCTCCTCTTCCTCCTCCTCTCCCTCCTCCTCCTCATCTTCCCTTTCCTCTTCCTCTTCCTCCTCCTCCCTCCTCCCTCCTCCCTCTCTTCCTCCTCCTCCTCCTACTCCTCCATTCCTTGTTCCCATCACAAGCTTTTCCTTGTCGCACTCCGAGGCCAGTTTTGAGGACGGGCCATGCGTGTCGCTGGAGAATTCCTCACCACTGATGACCCTGAAGCTCAAAAGTTGACAAGGGTTCCACAGATGGAGGGCAGGTGGTTTTCAAAATGTGACTCTCGCCTTAGCGCCGCGTGCATTATTCTAAAACATTTGCAAGAGTTTTTCGGATTGAGGGCGACTGGTTTTCAACAAGTGGCTCTCGCTTTAGCGCCGCGCGCATTCGTTTTACAATTTGCAAGAGTTTCACTGGTTGAGGGCGGCTCCTTTTCAAAATGTGGCTCTCGCCTTAGCGCCGCGGACATTCGTTTATTTCATGTAAAAGAGTTTCACGCGTTCCCATTATCAGCGTACCAGAAATTTGGTTTTGGAAAGATTCAGGATTATGCGGGCTCAATAGTTACATTCATTCGCTGTTTCGAAGTCCCAGGAGTGGCGTTCTCGCACGATTCAGGCTCGTCAAGACGCAACAGTCAGGTTGATCCGTGGCGTTGAAATCCCGAGAACAATGTTTTGGCATACTTCGGAGTCCTCAAACAGTGAGCTTCCGACGGGGCAGTTCCCTCAGCGGTGATGAGCCGTTGTAGGAGCCCATGAAAAGGGAGTTTGGAGGGAGGGTTTATTCCAACATCCTTGATGGCTCTTGGGTTTACACTGGCCCTCCTCCTCCTCCTACTCGTCCTCGTCCTCCTGCTCCTCATCGTCCTCCTCCTCCTCCTCCTCCTCGTCTCCCTCCTCCTCCCCCCTCCTTCTCCCCTGCCTCCTCCCGGCCGCGCTGGCTCGAGGTGGCCCCCAGTGACGCTCCCTTAGCTTAGCGTTGCTTATCTCATCTTAGCTTAGCTTATTTCATCTTAGCTTAGCTTAGCTTCATCTTAGTTCAGGTTTATTCCCTACCCAGGCTCTGCCTAGAGGGTTCTTACTCTCTTTCTTAACGGGGCCGGGCAGTGGAAATCGCCCCGGGCGGTTCCCCCGGTATCCGCCCTGCGGTTCCCCCAGTTGCGCCCCCTGGGTTCACCCAGCTTAGCTTTGCTAAGCGTAGCTAAGCTAAGCTTACCTTAGTTTAGCTTAGCTTAGCCTATCTCATCTTAGCTTAGCTTAGCCTATCTCATCTTAGCTTAGCTTAGCTTTGCCTAGCCTAGCTTGGCTTAGCTTAGCTTAGCTGAACTCAGCTTAGCTTGGCTTAGTTTAGCTTTGCTTAGCTGGGCCTGGCTTAGCTTAGCTTTGCCTAGCCTAGCTTAGCTCATCTGAACGTAGCTTATCTTATTACAGCTTAGCTTATCTTAGCTTAACTTAGCGCAGCGCAGCATAGCGCAGCGCAACATTAGCACATCATAGCATAGCATAGCACAGCATAGCCAAGTATATCATAGCATATCATAGCCAATCCTAGCATAGCATACCATAGCATAACATAGTATAGCACATCATATCATAACGCAGCATAACATAGCATATCATATCATAGCACAGCATTGCTTGGCATAGCACAGCGCAGCATAGCATAGCACAGCACAGCACAGTACAGCATATCATAGCATAGCATGGCGCATCATAGCATAGCATAGCATGGCATAGCATAGCGCAGCATCGCATATCACAACATAGCCTAGCATAGCATAGCATAGCGCAGTATAGCATAGCATAGCATAGCATCGCATATCATAGCGCAGCACAGCATAGCATAGCATAGCATAGCGCAGCATAGTGAAGCAGATGGACAATATATTCCACGAGTAGGTTTAGCACGTTAGAGTTGTGTCACGTTGTGCCTGTGAAACGACACTTTGGCTCAAGGGAAAACATTCTGCCAACGTTGCTGCTGCTACAGTTGGTAGCGGAGCCGTGGCCGGGCCAGTAGGCCATGGGTGGCGCCGAGCAGCCGTGAGGGGCTCAGCTCGGGCGCTGCTTGCGAGCCTCTGGCCGGTGCACGGCTTTGCAGCAAGGAACGGTGCGATCCACGGCAGATGCCGGCACACGGCGAGAAGGCAGATGACATGGAGTTCACGGGTGCCGTGATCGGTGGCAGTGAGACGGCAGCTGGAGCGAGCCCCCCAGGTGAGGCCCCACCTCCGGCTGCGACACCGCCGCTGGCCATCACGGAGCAGCAGCTGCGAGACCTCGTGGCTGGGGTAGTGCGAGACACTATGGCGGCGCCTGGCGCCGCGGCACGCGAGGTCGGACAGCAGGACAAGGCCGGCAATGACAAGTGGGACCCTTGGCGACGCGATGGAGCTGATCACCAGGCATCAGCAGCAGATGCCAGGGGTAAGGGCGATGATGATTGGCGGAAACGACGCGACGACGAGTTCGACGCATGGAAGGATTGGAGATCTGACGAGTGGAAGACGGGCAGCTGGGACAGCAAAGGTACCAGCAGCCAGCACCACAACGAGAACAGGGACGACGGCGAGGCTTGGAGTAGCGACGCCTGGCGACAGCAGGGCGGATGGCAGTGGCAGAGCTCGGGATTCGTGAAAGGCGACTATTCTGATCCGCCTGCGTGGCCAGGCTGGACTCACTACAGACAGTGGAGAAAAGCCGTGCGCCGATGGGACCGAGGCACTGACGTGCCCGTGTGGAGGCGTGGAGAGAAATTCCTACGCCTGTTCGATTGGACGATGCAAGCCAAGTTTGACGACATACCTGAGGCCACTCTCACCGAGGCTGGCTGGCTCGACGTGGTCATCTCCCGTATGGACATCATGATCGGGGAGCGCGAGGGAGATGAGCTGAGACGAGCCGGGCGAAATGCCCTCTTCGAGGCCGCGAGAGAGGCCAAGGAGAGCCTGACCCAGTACGTGGCCCGGCGGGAAGCGGCCTTCCTCGAGGACGAGGCCAATGTCCTGTGGCTTTCCGACAAGATGGAAGGGTCTGCTCCTCGAGGAAGGCTCAGATTTGAGCAACCAGGGCATGTAACACTTGCGCACTCTCACGCAAAGGAAGCTCGATTTCACCCAGGCTGCCTGGGCACAGCGGCAGCTGGATGCATCCGGCACCGAGAGGCTGCTCCCCGGTAGGTCCGCAAGCGCCCTTTTCGGAGCCGGCGTCGAGAGTGAAGACCCCGGCGGCGCCGCCTGTCAGTCCTCCCCCCCTCTCTCCTCGTACCCGGTCGGTGGTGAAGGTGAGGTTTCCGAGGACGAGTACGACGAGAGCGAGGAAGAGGAGGACGAGGACCAGTGGGACGAGGCAGCGCTGCTGGCAGAGATCGAGGACATTGACCTGGATGAAGACCAGGTCGCAGACGTCATGGCAGCCATCGTGTCTCGGTCAAACAAGAGAACGTGGAAACAAAACGAAGACATCGAGCGGGTTGCCAAGAGGGACCGTGAGTACTACGGCCAGCAGGCTCGGGCTCACTATCTCGGCCGCCACGTCCGCCAGTTGCAGGGCTAGGTCGCGGGCGAGGAAGAGGTCGAGGGCCCGCCCGCGGTCGTTGTCGCCCGCGCCTCTCACCAGACCAGCTGACGAAGATCACGAGGTGCGGGATCTGCAAGGAGAAGGGACACTGGCATCGCGAGTGTCTGGAAAAGGGTGGACCCAAAGACACTCGGGCCAAAGGCCGCGCGGTCTCGGCCTATGCCTTCGTGGGATGCACGCTGGGAGAGCAGGAGGCCAAACCCGCGACGTGCGAGATGATCGAGATTGGACCAAGATCGACGAGGAGCTGGGGTGCCAGGACGTCTACCTGGTGGCTCGCGGCACCCAGGGCCTGGTGGACCCCGGTGCCGGGAGTGATCTGGTGGGCCTGGCTGCCTTGAATCGGGGGTCGCACGCCTCGGCGGAGGTAGGACTTCGCTTCGAGGTCACCCCGAAAGAGCACCAGCGACCTCGGGCGGCTCACGGTGTAGGTGGGCCTGCCAAGGTGGTCTCCTCCGTGCTTTTCCCTCTGCGCCTCGGCCAGGTTTGGGGCGTCGTAGAAACCGCGATCCTCAAGAATGAGGTGCCGCGCATCCTCAGCGTGAATATGCTGGATTACCTCGAGCGTGTAATTAGCCCCCTCAGAATTTTATGAAGTCGAGGTTCTTGCAGAAGACGATCAGTCTGAACCGTCTTGGCTCGGGGCACAGGATGGCCGACATAGTTTTGCCGTTGCAGATGCCTCTGGAGATCCCCGAGTCAGCCTTGAAGCGCTATCCTTTTTTGACGAAGGACTCTTTTGTACACAAGGGTGGGGACCCTCAAGAGATGCTGGCTTCCGGAGCCCTGCGCAAGTACATGTTCGACTCCCTCATCCCCCTCACTACAGTGTGCCCCCTTGTCTTGGGTCATTACTTCGGGGAGCTCGAGGGGATCCTCGGGTGGGCCCTCGCGGCCCTCCTCGCGGTCATGCTCAGGATCGTCGGGTC